CACCCCCCTCGAAGGAGAATCAGTTTGGTGTCTTCTTTCCCCTCACTCGTGGGAGGCCCGCAGTAACTGCGTGAATGTTACAGTAAATCCTTATAGATAAAGGTGTGATGGAATGGAATTATGAAGGCCAGGCTCAGGGAGATAAGCGTGTTCTTAGTTCACCGGAGGAGCGTGGGAAGTTCAAGAGGAGGAGGCTGGCACCTCCCTGAGGAATTCACCGTGTTGTGGCTGGCTGGCTTGGGAGCTGGGGTTCAGTCTGGGGAGATTTCTGTCTAGAGGTTGTAGCTAATAAACTCAGTAGAACTGAATTTGCATTGTCTCTCGGAGTTCTTTGGGCTAAACCTGACAAAAGATGATTTTTTAAAATATTAGACAACATGGACATCTTAATACGTTTTTCAATTTATTAAAATTTTTGGAAAAGCTGCATTATTTAGTATTTATTGTATGTTTTTGTACAAGGTTGAATATGTGATAAAGTGTGATATGTCAGCACTGCAGAAGATTCTGTATCGCCACATGCAAGCAAAGGGAATCCTTCTTACTGATGGCTCTGAGAAAGACAAGAAGGTGAGAAGATTTCTGACACTGAGAAAGACATCTCTTCTTTTCTAGAATAAAACTTCCCTATGCAAAAAGTAATTCTAACAAATAAATTATTTGAGCCTTCTGAAGTATAACTAGGGAAAAATCAAGGGTTACTAAAAAGGTAGAATTCATTATATTTGAGACCTAGATTGTTGCAAACAGATGGTGGATTAAAAAAGAAAAAGGAGGAAATCTGGAGTGCTTTAGAACCTTAAATGTAGGGCAGCCAGCACTGTAAATTAACACAAATAGAAGACAAATGGTACTTTAGAGTTTGGGGAGAAATATTAAACCTGAGTAAATCCTTTGAAAAATATGTTTTCCAATGTAATTTGTTTCTCATGTAGAAACAGCCAGGAGCTGCATCCAAAACAGCCATGGGACTCTGGAAAAAGACATGGCTGTTTTAAAGATTCACAGAAAGGTCCTTTGTACTGGCTACTGCTGTCACAGATAGGGATATGTAAAATTCATGAAATTGGGAATGTCAGGGAGTTTTGTACTTCTTAGTTACAAAGCACCTCTTTCAAAGGATTGCACAGCTCTAGAAAATATATTAGAGTAAGCATATATTATGCTTGTTCTGTGAATATGGTAATATGTGAAATATGCCATATATTAAGTGAACAGTGTCTTTTCAGATTTTATTAATTCATTACTACTGTTGTGTTACTTTCTCAGGGAAAAGGTGGAGCCAAAACTCTTATGAATACCATCATGCAGCTGAGGAAAATATGCAATCACCCATATATGTTCCAGCATATTGAGGTAAATTAGTCTTATAATTTCATTCTAGGTGGACTTACACAGCTGTTGTTCTCACTTAAAGCAAAATTGCCCTACTCTTTCAGTGAGATCTTCTCAGTGTCAGTGTTGCACAAAGGGATATAAGTGAACTAGAAATTGCAAGTGGGGTTGTGTTGTTTGAATTCAGATTTCTGGTTTCCTTCTTGCTTCCCTGAAAGCTAGGATGTTTAATTCAATATGCTGTGATTTATTCCCAGCTTTGAACCCTGACTTATTTGGGAATAAGAAACTGGAAATCAAGGTTCAAATATGATACAAAACTTGCCATTTAAGGTTTACTTTTCTTGCTAGCCAAAAAGAAGTGAACAAGCTGCATGTCCCCACATGTTCATTCGCAGCAATCAAAAATAGCTCAACAATTTTAGCTTAAAAGTTGTATTAGTGCAATAATTATTTGTGTACAAGGGGGCAGCCATAGGAATAGGAGTTATAAATAAATAATTATAAATAAACACATAAATAATTAGTCAAGAAAATACACTTCCATTTATGAGTCATTATTTTCTATGAAGCATACACTTATGGGTATGTTGTAAAATTGTTCATACATAATTGAGGAAATGATTAGTTACAAAACAAGCTTTTTATTGGCCCATTATTTATTTATTCCAGCACTTTAATAATTGCATGTAGCTTGTCAGTTAATTCATGTACCTTAAGTATGCATTTGTATTTTTAACAGAAGTATAACTTCTGAAATCCATTGTTTTAAATAACACTGGAACTATGAAGCTGAATTTATGCAATTTACATTATTAGTTTTAGTTATTAGGGCTATGCAAAGCATTCAAATGGTACTTCGCAGCGTGAGAAGTAAGCACAAAGTACTCTGTTGCACTCATTTCCAAAGCTGGGTCTTTTTGCAGGCTCATGTGGCTGCTTTGCAAGTTGATCTCCATTCTCCCTGTGTGTATCTGTACTTCGCTTTGGTTCACTGTCCATGTTTTTTCTCAGGAAAGCAAATTGGAGGCCTGGAAAAGGATGTGGCTGTTTCAGTTATTCAAGAGAGATGTTTTGTACATGCTCCTATGCATTGCAGAGCAATTCTGATGGATTTGCAGGCCCTGTTAGGCATCTTCTAATCTTGAACAGCTAAATAATTTACTGTTATCATTTTGCAGGAATCCTTTGCTGAACATTTGGGCTATTCAAATGGTGTCATCAATGGGTAATTTTTGTTTTCTTTGTACTTATTTATTGACAATTCATTAATAGGTGTGATTGTTTCAAATTAAAACAAACCATTCAGAAAATATTCTGGTATAAAAATTAGAATAAGACATGATCAAGGTAGGATAAAGCAGTTCTGGAGCACCAATATAATTAATATTATATTGAAAAAAATCAGTTTATTGTTAAAACTGCAAAGTAAATCCCAGGGTTATTGGCATTATTTATTGATTTTATAATCAGAGACCAAAATACTTGAACCAAAAGAAGCGTACGTATTAGAAACAGTGATATTACAAGACAAATAAATGTAAAATGCAGATCAGCTTAAGGGAAAACAAGTTATTAAAACTCTTAGTCAATTAAACATCTAGGTGCAATAGCAGGAGCAGCAAAGCATCTCTTCTGGAGATACTTGGTGATCTATTAGTTAAGTGGAGGCAAATCTCCAATTTTTCATGGCTTCAGGTTCAGACAGGCATTATAATCCCATAGTTTCCAGCAGAGGCGTATGCTTCAAACTTTTCCTTTAAAATAAGGGAGACTTTAATTTAAAGCATTGATTGACTTATATCCTAAGTTTCTGACTATAAACATTCAAAGCTGCTTACAGCAATTAACAATACAAATTATAAAAACATAAGAATAAAATAATACAATTTAAATCAAGAGAAATTTAAAATCAGTATCATTGTAATCAAAATACTATTCAACCCACATTCAAAGCTGGATGAAAGAGATGGATATTCACCTTTTTCCTAAATAGTAGGGGTGGGGGAGGCAAACGTACATCCTGGGGAATGCATTCCATAGTCTATGGGTCACATAGGAGAAGGCCCTCTCCCACATGCTAGATAGAGCTTCTAACTCTGAAGCATTTTCAGAAGGATTTCTCCTGCTGACCTATACACATTCATAGCAGGAGAGGTGGTCCTTCAGTTAATTATAGATATGTTTACTCAGAAACACATCCACTTCAGTAAATTGAAATGGACTGCAAAGTATAAACTTAAGTAATTTTGACAGGTCACAATCAAATTATACAAAGAAAATGGCCTTTTTTATATCTACAAATTTTAGAAAAATAATAAATAGCATATTGTTTGTAAAGTGTGAAAATAGAGGGTCAAATACGTCCTCAGAAAAGCCCAAACTACCAGAAAGGTAGCTTGTTAAAGAAGTTGGAGAAACAATCTTTTGAACATTTAGTAGGCCTGTGATCAGCATATGAAGTAGAAATTTCCATTCCCTCAATTTGTACTGAATACTGAAGTATTTCAGTACTAAAATACTGAAGTTCTCCTCTGTTAGAAGCCAGGGACTAACTAGGTGAAAAAGACCTTTCCAAACAAACAAACTTGTGATTTATAGATTGGAAGATTAGAAAGGGTAGCTTATGGAAAGAAGGAAATTATGATGTAATCTGAGAGAGAGAAAGTAAAATATAAATGTATTTATAACTGCTGTCAGGAAGATGAGAAGCCACTTCTTTATTACTTCTTTCTTTCTCTCTCTCTCTCTCTCTCTCTCTCTTTTTCTTTCTTTCTTTCTTTAACACTGCCCTTAAACATCTTAGTACTGACATAGTCTATATTTGTTTTTT